AGTTTTCCCAGATGAACGTTAAGCAACCCAAACTCACCGCATATGCAGAGGAAGAGTTTAGCCCCTTTCACATATACAGTCTTCACTGGTAAATTGCCATTAAGAGATCATGTGTGAACAGGACCTTTTCAAAACTACAGGTAAATTTATTCTGCCAATCATATCGTTCTTATGGAGATGACGTGATTACTCTGAGCTGTTTACAAAGCTCCGTTAATTATATAGAAAATAGCTTTTCTATATAAATATGGCTCTAGATGGAAATCTTTGACCATTGCGCCTCGCAGCTTTTTCAGAATGTATCGTGCTCATCAGCTGCAACTCTGTAGTTGGATACTATTATGCGCGTCTCATGTTTATAGGACCAAAAATGTCTGATTGGCTAGTAATGTTAGTTTGGTTTAGAGTGAAAGCTGTGTTCCTCTCATACATTGGTAGGCGAACTCATTAACTTGTGATATCAACAAGTTTTTTTTTAATGTAGGAGGACTATCTTATTTTCACTCAGCTAAACGCCACACGCCGGAGATCCGGCACGGTGCCGGAGAACTTTAAGCCCTGTTAAATGTTGAGGGAAAAACACCAGTGTGAAGGGATCTGTTAATGATGTGAGTGAGTGCAGGTACAACTGCAGGAGAAATGGCTTGAAGGAGATGAGATGGAATAGGATCAAGCGGATAGGATGATTGGAAAGGATGAGTTTGGAGACTTCTGCCTCAGAGAGTGAAGAGAAGGATGAAAACGAGTATATGTTTGCTGGTAAGATGTGTTTGACAGTTTGTGGTGTGGAAAATTGTGCACTGATGGTTTTAATTTTATTAATGAAGAAAGTGGCAAAGTCGTCAGCTGTTAGAGTTGATGAAGGAGGGGGAGGAGGAGGACAAAGGAGGGAGGAAAATGTTTTAAAGAGCATGCAAGAGTTAGGCGAATTGTTAATTTTGTTATGATAGTATGTCCTTTTAGCAGTGGAGGCATTAGCAGAGAATGAAGAGAGGAGTGACTGATACACATTAAGGTCAGTAGGATTTTGTGATTTTCGCCATACTCTTTCTGCAGCCCTGAGCTTAGAACGATGTTTTCAGGAGACCATCAGACAGCCAAGGGGCAGAAGAGGTGGTACGAGCTGGCCTGGAAGACAAGGGGCAGAAGAGGTGGTACGAGCTGGCCTGGAAGACAAGGGGCAGAAGAGGTGGTACGAGCTGGCCTGGAAGACAAGGGGCAGAAGAGGTGGTACGAGCTGGCCTGGAAGACAAGGGGCAGAAGAGGTGGTACGAGCTGGCCTGGAAGACAAGGGGCAGAAGAGGTGGTACGAGCTGGCCTGGAAGACAAGGGGCAGACAGTGTCTAAACAAGACGTAAGAGTGGAGCAGAAAGTATCAGTAGCACGGTTAGCATCAGCAGATGATAACTGTTTAGGGGGAGGAAGCGAAGATGAAACTATAACCGGGAGGGTGAGAGTGAGCGTAGGTTATGTCGAAAGATGACATGTGTAGGGGTGTGTGTTGTGTCAGGAACCATGTTGAGGTTAAGAGGGAGGAGGAAGTGATCCGAGGTGTGCAGTGGAGTAACCAGCACATGAATAGTGGAGCAGTGCCGTGTGTAAATAAGGTCCAGTTGGTTGCCTGATTTGTGAGTAGCCGTAGTTAACACTCGCTTGAGATCAAAAGATGCAAGCAGAGTGTGGAAGTCTGCAGCCTGAGGTTTATCTAAGTGGATGTTGAAGTCTCCAAGCATAATTAGGGGAGTACCATCCTCAGGAAAGTTTGAGAGCAGCACATCTAATTCTTCCATGATGTTACCTAATGGTGCTGGGGGTCGATAAACAACTACAAAATGGATTTAAAGAGGGTGGGTAATAGTGGCTGAATGTGATTCAAAGGAGCTGTTGATACTCAGAGATGGTAAAGGATTACATTTCTAATCATTAGAGACAAGCAAACCAGTACCTCCACCTCTTCCAGTCAGACGGGGAGTGTGGGAACATGAGAAATTATTGGAGAGTGCTGCAGGTGTAGCAGTGTCCTCTGGTTTGATCCAGGTTTGATCCAAGTAATGAAATCTGCTTTGTTTACAGCAGACTGGCAATTCCAGAGACCAATAGAAAAAGAAAGTAGTGTATTAGTAGACTTAGGCAAAGTGTGCAGGATGTTAGGATTGCGCTGCCTGCAGTGTGTGATGCATGGTTTGCGAGTGGTAGTGATAGTAGGGATCTGGAAACACATAGTAAGAACTGGTTATTAAAAGCTGAAAACAGAAGGGAAACAAGTAGTAGGAAACAGAATGATTCAAAAGTGATTCTTATGTCCCTGCTCGGTGGAGTCGAACGGTAGAGTCGATAGTCTTAAAACTCTTCGGTCTTCACACGAGGGCTACCGCGACCGCTGCCGCGGTATACTAAGCTTTTTATATTTGTCTAACAAAACTCAAATTAAATTCAGCTGGACACACTTTCCTGTTTATCCCAACAAATGGCCAAGCAAAGCGCATGACACTGACAAGGTACGCGATACAGTACGAGACCAAACACGATTTCTGATAAGAAAATTATATGTATTTCAAATTCCAATTTTACAGACCAGTTTGGAGTAGACATCACAGTTAGGTCACTTGCAGCTGCGTGTTCATTGTGGTGGCAGAAAAACACTGGTAACAAGTGGAGGGAAATGGGTCAAATTTATGGAATAAGAAGAAAAAAGATTTTTGTGCCTTTGGAAGTCAGAATCGGAATGCAAATCATTTTTATAGAATACTGTCATCAAAGACGCCATTTGAAGCTAAACGCAGACGTTTAAACGGACAGACTGGATGAAAACTGCTTAGATTACTCTACTTTTAAAGCATAAATTTGATTTAAACAATAGGTCTTAAACAATAGGTTCATTGGGGACATATTGTATTAGCCCTACAGTTACAGCACGAAATTCTATTTAAACATATTACATTTTACATAACATTTACCTATTTTATCTCACAATTCTGACGTTTTTTCTCACATATGCAAGTTTATATCTCCTATTTCTGACTTTATGACTCGGTTTAACTCAACAATAGCGAGTTTGTCAATTCTGAGGAAAATAAAGCCAGAAGTCAGGGATATAAAGTCATGATTCTGAGCACAGGGGAAAAGAGAGAATGACAAGCTGTTTTTCCTTATCAGAATTGTGAGATTAAAGTCAGAATTTTGAAATATAAACTCAAGTTGACCTTTTTTATTCTTTTATTCCATGGCTCCCATAGACTGCTATGTGAAAACTGTCATTTTCTGCCACCACATAGGCCCTGCCCACAAAAAATCCTCACCACTGTTTGCAAACACCGAACTGGTCTACAGCAGTGGTTCTCATATTCAAACACACTTTTTTACAGCTTGATTTGTTTTATTTCAATGCATGTAGTCTTGGGGCCATCTGGTTGAGAATCATTGATCTAGACTTTTCAGATAGTCAGTCATTAAATTATATTTATATGTTCTGTGTGTGATTTATCTTGAAGTATTAAAAGTGTTGGCTTAATAGCTTTAGAGCCAGGCCTAATGAAATTGTGTGTGTGTGTGTGTGTGTGTGTGTGTAGATGGGTATTGATTTGAGTAGCTAACCCGATCAGTGTCTTGCGTTGTCTCTGTTTCTCTCCGAGTAAAGATCATTCATGTGTGTTTGATGGTCGGGCTTCTGTATTTCTCTCTGAAGCTGCGCTCAAGCTGCTGACTTCAGCAAATAATGCATATGAATATGCTTCATGGAGTTCAGATGAACATCGCCGTGATTTATTTCATCTTTACTGAAGGAGAAGAGCGAGTAGCATCAATGATTTCTTTCAGTGCTGAGCAAGAGCAAGAGATGGAGCAAAGTCACTGTTTTATTGTTTAGTTGAGATGTCCTCTTTCTCAAGAACACATCCAGGTTATATTTCATCCCAAAATCAAAATATTTCAATTTCCTGTTTTGCTTTTGACATTGACAATTAAAGAGTTTCACCCCAAAATAAAAAAAATCAGTCATTTACTAGTTTCTGTTTTCCTGCAGAGCACAAAATAACATTTTCTGTACCATGACATGTAATATGACCAAAAACATAAATAGAACCATTAAAAACAGCTCTAGGGATGTCACGATAAAAAAAATTGCAATAATACATAAACATGAACTCTTTTATTTAAAATTACAAAAACACAACATTAGTGGCACTTGGCCTTCAAATAACGCACGCAAAACACAGGTTTTGAGCCACAGCTCACTGGAGAGAAAGATTACCAGTGAATAACAACATTAGTTTTTGGTCTGTTAGTCACAAATGCATGCAAATGAGCAAAATGTGCTGGTCCTCTACAGTTACTGCTGCTTAATATCTCTCTCTCTCTCTCTCTCAGGGGGTGAAGCCTGCCAGTTATAATAAAGTGATGGATCCTGAGGTCAAAGAGATCATTGGCGAGTGTATTTGTCAGAATAAAGAGGAGCGGTGAGTATCGAGAGCCCAGAATAGTACAGACAGAGCTGATCTGCACTAGCTCACCCTCATGAGTACAGTCTCCACATGATGCATGAAAATACACTGCACACACACACCGAAGTTTCAAATGTTTATACTGATGCTTTCTGTTATCGAGTGCATTGCATTCAAAATCCATCTTGATGGCAGTGCATTATGGGTTTGTATGCATACATGCGATTCTGCTTTAGAGTTTGGCCAGAGAAGGTATGGTTTTTTGTTGTTGGTAAATAATGAATTTGAACAAATAATAGAAAAAGTATTTGTTTGACACAGTCGCTCCTTGTTTTTGCTGGATCACAGGTGATCTGGGTGACAGCACAGTGTTCTAGATAAACAACTAAAAGTCCAGTGCAATAGTAGTGAGTGTATGAAGTGATGGCGACAAAGTCGCAAAAAGTGGTGGGAACTGTTGCCAAAGAATTTCACTAAAAAGAATGCCTGTCCACTAAAGAACTTCATGTTAGGTACCATTTGTTTTAATTAAATAGTATAATTTTGTCTATAATTAATATCATAAAATAATTTTGTCAATTATACAAGGCATATGCTATACTGTATGTTAACTATGGAAGGAACAGAATAACATTTTGAAATGGGATTTTCATGTAGTTCAGACAAATTTCCAGATTAATTCCCACCCACATTTGGTTTTATCTGAATGCAGACACGAATAATTTAGCCATTGATCATGACTTTGCTACATTATAGTGTTGACTGCATTCATCAAATTCAGCTGTTCAACCCTGTTACCAAACTTACTGTAAGAAAAAAGAAACACTTATTTTATGGGATAAAAAGTTTGTCTGTAAATACAGAAGATTTATTCCCAAAGTAGCTCGTCACAGCTGAGTGACTGGTTAACTCTGTTACTCATTCTGCTTGTTATTCTGTGCATTTATCTTTCAAATGTGATCATTTCATGTTTACTTTGTGGAAATCACACAAGTGTTGGAAAGGGTTTTAAAAGATTTAAATCGTAATCGCACATATCCCAAATGCTGTTAATAGGGTTTCAAATTGCAAACAGAAGCTAAATACACTCATATAAAGCGCAGTAGTTTGACTGAGGCTGTTGTTCAGAATTTCCTGAAGGCATATCACCATTTGTGACCTGGGTTGGCAAAATGAGTCACAATGAGCAAATAAAAAATAAAAAAAAATTCAAAAGACCTTCAAAATAATGTATGATTTGTCGGAATCGGACGAAAAATTACTGAGCTCCACCCGTTTGAAGTCGATAGAGTCAGCAAACGCAATTCTGAGAAAAATCGAGTTTTCTGAAGGTTCCAAAGCGAATCAGCGAGCAACATTGCAACTTTTCCTCCACTTCCTTTCTTAAAAATACTATATTAATAATCACAATATAGCTATTTTTATTTTATCTTTGTTATTATAAATAAGAACCGCAGAAGAACAAATATAAGAAAGAAACAAATAATGCATTACCTTTTCCATTTTACATCTAAACAAGCATTCAAGTAAGAAAAACAAATAATCTAATGTAAAATCCCCTTAGTGTGTTCATTACAAATAAATTGACTATTAAAACTACAAAAGCAGTGTCCACTGCAGCGAGTGATTCCCTCTTCTCTTTTATAGTTAGATTAACATTAATGAGACAGATGGCCTATATAGTAAGTCCTACTGTAAAGCACATATCTAACATAATGTTACACATCAGATGTTTTTCCCCAGCAGTTCCCCAAACATTCGCTTAAGACATAACTGATAATGTTTGCGTGAAAACTTAAATACTGTAATAATCCTATGTATATGTGTATATTTATCGGGATTGCGTGCTGAAGCAAGCAGAGAAAAGGTAGTTCTCTTAGAAAACGTACAAATAAAGATATATTTAGATGTTTAATTACTATTTGAAACATTGGGATCGCTAGACGAGGGTTTAATGAACAAATTTTTGTGAAAACACAGAATTCGACTGAAATCTAAATTTTTCACCTTTTTTTTTTGCCTGTAGCTCAGAATTAGACTGTGTGCATTCCCACTCGTTTTGGCAGCACAGCTCACAATTGCTGAAGAAGAAAACCGTTTATTTGAACGTTGTGCCCTCTTCCGTCCAGTAACCGCTCCGCCGACGCTCTTCCCACAGTTACTCCATCAAGGACCTGCTGAATCACGCGTTCTTCGCGGAGGACACCGGCGTGAGGGTGGAGCTGGCCGAGGAGGACGACGGCTTGAAGACGTGCATCGCACTGAAGCTGTGGGTGGAGGATCCCCGCAAGCTGAAGGGCAAGTACAGGGACGGAGGAGCCATCGAGTTCAGCTTCGACCTGGAGAAGGAGGTCCCTGAAGCCGTGGCGCAGGAGATGGTGCGTGTTCAAGCGGTCTGATGCACACCAAGCAGTACTTGCTAAAAGAGCAAAGAGAAATAATTAGCCTTTTTCACAAAAATCTGAAATTACGTCAGCGCAGGGTAAAGTTTTAAAGCAGGCCTATTATATTAGTATGCCCTTTTCTCAAATAATGCTTCTTACCTTTTCTGTTTTGTCTGTTTTCCAAGTTCTTGTTATATAATCTACAAAGAAATAACATTTGACTTGTTTCTAACTTATATGGCCACTCTGACCGCTGACTCGTGAGATAATACGCTCAACATAGCACCGGATGGTTTCTATTCTCCACTCATTTCCCTCGAATCACCACATCATTTAAATTACTTAAAATGACAACATTTATGTCCAGATGCCCATTTTTCCAAGAATACATGAAACAATTCTAACCGAGTCCAATTAAAGCGTATTAAACTCAACACAACAACGCAATCCGATTCAAGAAATGTGATCTGACATGTAGCTCATGTGTGGACAACAGTGGTTATAACAGGTTCACATGTCAGGATTTAGAGCCAGAACTGTTCATTTTAAAAATAACCTTTTAAATGAAGTAAACAAGATTTAACTGTGGTATGTGAACACCACAAAAACAAGTCTGATGTTGTCTTCCTGTTTCACTCATATCTTATCTATGGAGACTGATCTAGAGATATTTCCCGTCTCTGTTGTGAAACACAGCTGAAAGCTCTTTAATGGAATATCTTCTGGCATAAACATTCAATTATTCTGTTAGAGAGGTGGATTCCATTAACAATCGTAACCTCTGACTGTGAGGACGTCTTCCATTTCCCATTTCATTCGGCCGCTGCCTTGACCGCACTTAAGTCCTGTGTTTTTAGTTGCACTAGTTGAGACTTCATGAAAACCACCCTCGCTTTCTCGGGAACTCTGGATCACCTGCTTCAGTTCTTACCAAACCTGTTTTAAGGTTTTAATACAGGACACACAGGCAGTCAAAGCTGCTTGAGCGCATTATATATATTCAAACACTTGCACTTAAGGACAGTCTGTGACCTCCTGGACCCGGTTCAGATTGGAAAATCCTTTTGCTGTGATCACATGTTATGTAATCTGAGCATTGTAATGCGTGGGAACGTTTGCTAAAAGGAAAATTAGTCTTTTATACTGATCGCTGCAAACAGCCCAAAGGTTCCCTTGTTTCACCCGCTTCGTTCACTAGACAGATATTGATCTTTCCATTTTTCTATTCTACACAAAACCCTTTATGGATGAATCTCACGAAAGCACAAAATTATTGTTGGCACTTTTTTTTTTATGACAATTAATAAAATCTCCCCCACAGTTCTCTGTTATGTGAGAAGATCTACAGAGTGTTGTGCATCCAGTTTTTTTTTAAATATTTTTTTTGTTTGTATTATTTTATTTCAATACATAATGTAGTGCAGTGAGAATTGCCAGAATGTAATATTTTATATACTGTATACTAATATAATATAATATAATTTTTCATTTTTTTGTTTATATTTCTACGTAGGTTTATTTATCTTTTTCCTAAATTAGAGACAGCAGCAACAATTGTTCTTGGTCTCATTAGTCATATTTGGCTGATTCTTTCTTCTGAATTAGGGATGGTAAGATTCACAGATTCGTATCTGTGCTTCAGCATAAAAATTAACCATGCGATGCATTGGTTAAAAAAGCGTGCATCGTATACAAGTTGGCATTTGTATCGCGATGCATCGTTTCTAACATATTTGCATCTGTAAAAAACGATTTATTTCAATATCATTATTAGTAGATGTGCTATACTTTTATTATTTAGAGCGTGACCAATATTTTATGTAGATTGATTTTTCCTCTCTAAACTGTTTCTCAAGCGCGTTCTCTCATAGAACCATATTGAATTGCATAGCATCATGTTTTTTTCCATTGCATCATATTGCATTGAATCGCATTGTTGAATCAAATCGTAATGGGGTGAATCGTATCGCATTGCATCGGTAGCTGCTTCATATGTATCTTTAATGTATAGTATCATTGGCTATGCATCAAGATGCATGTCACATCGGCCTCAGTTATGGAGATGCACATCTCTTTGTGTGTGTTGTGTCTAGTTTAAGCTTTCCTCCACAGACAGTTTTCCTTTAATTCTGTGATCTGTGTTCCTCTGTTCCTAAAATAGTGCCCTGGCTTCTTTCTCTCTGCTCTAAAAATGCGTGTTCACACCAGCCCCCTCTCATCCTTCTATCAGGTTGAGTCTGGTTTCTTCCATGAGAGCGATGCAAAGATAGTGGGCAAGTCTCTCCGTGACCGAGTGGCTCTGATTAAGTGGCGCAGGGAAAGGACGGTGCCGAGGGCCTCACAGGCCGTGCCGGGCGAGACGGGGCCCGTCCTCTGTGAACCGCCCGGTCTGCTGGAGCCTGAAGAGCCAGAGGTGGATCAGCATGTCCACGTGTGTCCGCTCGGTGCCAGGACCACCTCCACCACATGTAAGCCTGCGTGTTTTGTGAAGTTTTGGGGTTAAATAGAGTTCTACCCAGGTTTAAAAAAGTACACTTCCATAATGTACTTAAAGTGGTCTAATCATTTAATATACTACAAATTATTCTTTAGTACTTCTTAAGATAAACTAAGTGTACTCAACTGTGACATTTTGAGACACCATGAATATAAACTAAAATGTGCTTCTAACATACTATCTGTATATAAAAAAAGATGTAGTGCACAAGTGTGCTAGTGTATGAAAGATGGGTTCAAGTGTACTACAAGTGGTAAATAAATACATTTTTTAAATACAGAGATAGTATGTTAAAAGTGCATTTTAGTTAATATTCATGGTGTCCCAAAATGGCACAGTTGAGTACACTTAGTGGATCTTAAGTTTATCTTAAGAAGTATTAAAGAATCATTTTTAGTACATTAACCTCCTGAGATCCAGCTATGGAGTTTTTGCCTCTGTAGTTGATATTATATTTGATTGAATTTCTCTGAGACCTCATGTCACAGTTGTAAGTCTGGATGTCCTGTACAGAGCACATGCAGGGCTTTCCAGAGATGCAAAATGATTGGATGTTTCACCATGTCCCAACAGCACTTTAATATGCAAATTAGATGCAGTGTATAGATAACATTGTGCTTAATGGGAAAACCAGTTTATGGAATTTTTACACACATATTTCATAAAGCAAAATGGTATATCAAATAATTTTGTTATATATTTTATAACATAGTTAGTTATAAAAAAAATCCTGAAACCTAAAAATTTATTGGTGATTTAAAAAAAAATCCCATTGTTTTTGCCTTTTCATGTCTATTCTTGTCATTTTATTTTTTAGAAAAACTGAGTCCTGGTGTCCTCTACAGAGGACATAGCATAACTTATAAATAAAATATAATTTTTCAAAAATGTTATTTTACAATTTGTTATTATGCTCTAAACAATATAATGACATAGAGCAAAATAGAGCACTTTAAATACATTATGGAAGTGTACTTTTGGAGCATCTTCCATGTGATGATGTTTACCAAAGAAAGTAAGACATGTTATAATTAAATGCTTAATAACAAATGCTGATCCTTTATTTACACTTAATTACAGAAGTACACTAATGCATTTTTTCAAATATGAACTGTTATTAATAATAATTGAGCACCAATAATAATTGAGCTGCAAATCGGCATATTAGAATGATTTCTGAAGATCATGTGACACTGAAGACTGGAGTAATGATGCTGAAAAATCAGCTTTGATCACAGGAATAAATGACAGTTTAACAGATATTCACATAGAAAACAGCTGTTTTAAATTCTAATAATATTTCACTGTTTTTACTCTTTTTTTTTTGTCAAATAAGTGCCTTGGTTAACAGAAGAGGCTTCTTTAAAAAAACTTAACTATTCAAACCTACAGTGGGGCAAAAAAGTATTTAGTCAGCCACCAATTGTGCAAGTTCTCCCACTTAAAATGATGAGAGAGGCCTGTAATTTTCATCATAGGTATACCTCAACTATGAGAGACAAAATGAGCTAAATAATTTTTTTTCCCACTGTACCTATGGTTAAAAATATTCAAATATCGACTGTTGTTAAAAATTAAATATGAATCAAAGACTCCCTTGCAAACTCAGTTTTTGTAACAATCTCCAGTCATTTTACTCATTTTGTTACCATGTAAAGTAAGGGATGAGTGACACTGATTCTGCCATAATGGTCAGATGTTTTGGTTGTGTTATGTCAAGAATATTCCTAGTACGTGTTTGTCTTCTCTCTGTGTCTCTCTAGCTGACAGCGGCATCGGTTCGACTGTGTACTCGGACTACCACAGCAGTGGTCTGCACAGTGTCATATACCAGTCTTTACAGGAATCTGTCTCCACAGCAAACCAGCAGGTCCGTATCACTCCCCATCACTGTCACTGGTGCACGTCAGAAACCACAGTGATATGTGAAGTTTGCATTCCCCTGTTAGTGTGTGAAGTTTGCGTACACATGCATGCTTGTACTTGCATAGCTTTTAAATGTAGCCCATCATTTTATCACAGTGACACAATGTTTGCAGCTCTGTAACTGGACCGTGTTTTCACCTTGTCATCAACCACTTCATTTTTGCCTAGGGGTTTCATTATGTTTCCTTATGTAACATGCATGATAACACGGTCTGCGTTGCATTCCCTGTTGTCCGTTTGTCTGATTTGTTAGTGGTGCTCACACTATTTGTGCTCCAGACATGAATAATTCCTCAAATCATGCAGCTTAGGGGTGGACGATATGACCAAAATATTCTATCACGATATAATAACTTCTATCAGTTATTTTTGCTTTAAATAAGGCCTTTATGATATTGGCATATTTGATAACATATACATTTTACGATTCTTGTCACCAGTGTTAATATCACAAAAATGAATACAAGCCTAAAGAAAAAAAAACAAAACAAAAAAAACTCAAGCCCACTGAAGACAAGTAATCAGTCAGCAATTAAATAAGAATAAGAAACTAATTACAAGCAATAGGACAAAAAAATTACAGTAGAACAAATAAATAAGAAATGCTACATACATTATACATATTACATATTCTTCACTGTGTAAATTAAATGGGTATTTCACCCGGTAGTCCATAACTTTTAGACCGGGTACACTCTGTCATACGTTCGATGGCTCACGTACGTGGGTTCGTGTATCCTGCGTGCCACAAGGTGGCGCACGGACATCCCACCCCAGGATTACGACAGTGGCCTTCACCCATATGGAGGGGTGGACACTTTTTCGTCCCATGAACCCACTATTTGTCCACTCGCCCATTGGAGCACCGGAATGACCCCTGGACCCCCGCTGACCACTGCTGACCACATCCATGCCCCCGGGCCACGCCCACCCCCCCAGGTCCCACGAACCCACTATTTGTCCATTTGCCCACTATGTTGACGGAATGACCCCTGGACCCCCGCTGACCGCTGCCATGCCCCCAGGTCCCACAAACCCACTATTTGGCCATTATAATGACGGAATGACCCCGGACCCACGGGGACCCCTTGTCCACGCCTCCCTACATCCCACGAACTCACTATTTGTCCATTTGCCATTTAATGAATGGGATCGCTATGGCAGGTTAGTGGGATGATTGTCCTCTAACCACTTAAAGCATTCCCATACAATGAATTGCAAGTGGGACATGTCTCCATTTGCCATTTAATGAATGGTATCACTATAATAGTTTAGTGGAATGAATGTCCACTAACCACGTAAAGCATTCCCATTCAATAAATTGCAAATGGGACAAGTGTCCATTTGGCATTTAATGAATGGGATAGCTATAGTAGTTTATTGTCCACTAACCTATTAAACCGATACCATTCAATAAATGGGTAGCCCCTACATCCCACAAACTCACTATTTGTCCATTTGCCATTTAATGAATGGGATAGCTATGGCAGGTTAGTGGGATGATTGTCCTCTAACCACTTAAAGCATTCCCATACAATGAATTGCAAGTGGGACATGTCTCCATTTGCCATTTAATGAATGGTATCACTATAATAGTTTAGTGGAATGAATGTCCACTAACCACGTAAAGCATTCCCATTCAATAAATTGCAAATGGGACAAGTGTCCATTTGGCATTTAATGAATGGGATAGCTATAGTAGTTTATTGTCCACTAACCTATTTAACCGATACCATTCAATAAATGGGTAGTGGGATGTGTGTCCATTTGCAATTTATTGAATGGGATCATTTGAATAGGTTAGCGGGATGATTGTCCACCAACCTATTAAACCGATCCCATTCAATAAATTGCAACTGGGATGTGTGTCCATTTGCAATTTATTGAATGGGATCGCTATAATAGGTTAGTGGGATGATTGTCCACTAACCTATTAAACCGATCCCAGTCAATAAATTGGGAGTGGGATGTGTGTCCATTTGCAATTTTTGAATGGGATCACTATAATAGGTTAGTGGGATGATTGTCCACTAAATTATTAAACCGATCCCATTCAATAAATTGCAACTGGGATGTGTGTCCATTTGCAATTTATTGAATAGGATCGCTATAATAGGTTAGTGGGCAATCATCCCACTAACCTATTATAGTGATCCCATTCAAAAATTGCAAATGGACACACATCCCAGTTGCAATTTATTGAATAGGATCGCTATAATAGGTTAGTGGGCAATCATCCCACTAACCTATTATAGCGATCCTATTCAATAAATTGCAACTGGGATGTGTGTCCATTTGCAATTTATTGAATAGGATCGCTATAATAGGTTAGTTGGATGATTGTCCACTAACCTATTAAACAGATCCCATTCAATAAATGGGGAGTGGGATGTGTGCCCATTTGCAATTCATTGAATGGGATCATTATAATAGGTTAGTGGGATGATTGTCCACTAACCTATTAAACCGATCCCATTCAATAAATTGCAACTGGGATGTGTGTCCATTTGCAATTTATTGAATGGGATTGCTATAATAGGTTAGTGGGATGATTGTCCACTAACCTATTAAACCGATCCCATTCAGTAAATGGGAGTGGGATGTGTGTCCATTTCCAGTTTATTGAATGGGATCGCTATAATAGGCTAATGAGATGATTGTCCACTAACCTATTAAATCGAACCCATTCAGTAAATTGCAACTGGGATGTGTGTCCATTTGCAATTTATTGAATAGGATCGCTATAATAGGTTAGTGGGATGACTGTCCACTAACCTTTTAAACCGATCCCATTCAATAAATGGGGAGTGGGATGTGTGTCCATTTGCAATTTATTGAATAGGATCGCTATAATAGGTTAGTGGGATGATTGTCCACTAACCGATACCATTCAATAAATTGCAAATGGACACACATCCCACTCCCCATTTATTGAATGGGATCGCTATAATAGGTTAGTGGGATGATTGTCCACTAACCGATACCATTCAATAAATTGCAAATGGACACACATCCCACTCCCCATTTATTGAATGGGATCGCTATAATAGGTTAGTGGGATGATTGTCCACTAACCTATTAAACCGTAGCCATTCGCTCAATGGGGAGTGGGATGTGTATCCATTTGCAATTTAATCAATGGGGATGGCTTTTAGTGGTTTTTGGACAGTAGTCCTTCCGACCAATTAAATAAATTGAAATCCCATTTAAATACCATTGAATAAATGGGTTATGGACACCTCTACCACAAGCAATTTATGTTTTAGCCCAAAAAGATATATATCTTTATATGAACAACGTCAGTCAACCAAACTAGAACACGAACTGTTCGAAACAAGTCAGTTAACCAAACTAGAACACAAATTGTTCGAAACAACAGACAAAACAAAATGCAAACATCAAACACAGGAAATCAAAACAAACAAACTATTTACAAAAGGGGCTTTTGAAAAACCCTCAGTCTCCTTCTGGCCAGTCCCAAGAGTTTTTGCGCAGCTTGTAGCTGCTGTGGCAACTTAAGTGGGGAGAGCCACACGAACGGTGAAAAATGTTGTCCCAGGGTCTTCTTCGGGTTGAAGCGCCTCTTTTTGTCTGGGGTTTCTGGGTCTCTCTCCTGGAAATAGTGAGAAAGGCAAAGAGTTGAACATGCCTACTTGTCACAAACAGTTGAACCAATCCATGAGAGACTGAACATACCGAAGCAGACTCCCTGGACTCTGGGCTTGCTTCACCATGGGGAGGGCTGGCAGAGGTCAATGGGCTGGCAGAGGGGGACTGGCCGGCCGGCCGCTTGCACTGTTTAGCGGGGCGCTTTGGTGTCCCAGGCACTGGCGCCACATCCTCACCTTCCAAGGCTGCCTCAAACAGATGGTGGTGCTCCGCCACACTTACGTGACAGGCAAGCCCATCGATCACCAAGCCTTCTGAAAATACTGATTGAGGTTCTTGCAGGAGCTGAGTTTGGATGTGAAAAAAAAGTAGTGGGTGTTTTTGCCACCCACCAAGGTGGACCTCAGTGAAAGAAACTGCTGAAGCCACCCATATTCTTCCTGGTCAAGGGCCAGCTGGGCGGCACCGAAGGCCTGGTTGGTCTTGTGGGCCGATATCTGCATAAACTGAGAAGCGATTAATTTTAATTTTTAAAGAGAAAAACATGCAGAGAGATAGAGAGAGTAAGAGAGAGAACCACTCACGTTGATGACAAATTTGTCCTCAGTTACGGTCTTCCTGGCGTCCTCCACCTCCTTAATGGTAAGGTTCTGGAACACCCCACCGCAGTGTCCATAAATACTGGCCCAAAATGCGGTGAGGTGCCCATAAAAAGACCACTGGTCTTTCTTCTCCAGTGCTGTCTCGAGGCGATCAGCACAGAAAAAAAGAGAAGCATTAAGGGGCACGTGGGATGCCAAAGTATGAGAGGCAAGAGAAGTCGAGAACTTACTCAGAATCTCAGGGATCCTCTTCTTGGCTGCCTTGGAAATAAGGCGGCCCTCCTTGGCCTGTTTCACAGCCACCTGGTGGACCGCCATGCTGCACCTTACCGGGCGGATGATGGACTGGATCTCCCTTCTGAGGCCAAATAAGGTGACGCGGTAGAGCTGGCATGTGGGCGGCGGGGTTTCATTGACAAACTGTAGAAACTGAGCCACATTTTTCAGGTAGTGGTGAATTGTAGGCTCAGTTATTTTGGCTCGTCTTAAAAACGAGAGCCAGGACCGCATCTTTGCCGCGTTGTTTAAAAATGTCATGCTGGCCAGGTCAGTCTGGCCAACAGAAATGTAGGCAACAAAGTTTTTGATCCGGAAGACCTTCGGAGACACGTTATTTATAAGTTTGGGTGAGGGTTCGGCGCCCTCGTGGTGCCCCCGGAACTCCTTGATGACCTGATCTGCGAAAAGAAAACACACAAGAAGGACCAGGTGAGCCGGGTCGAGGGCACAGAGT